AAGGGCTTAGATTTCTGTAAACGAAGCAGGAGTTGCTGTGCTGATGGGAGGAGCACAGAGACCAGACATGGAAATGCGTGTTTGATCCTTTTCCTCTGGTAAAATGTCAGGCAGGAAGTTTATCTTCCAAATTGCAGTAAAAGGAAAGCTGCAGAGCGTAGGTCAGAAGGGAAAACAGGAAAGAGACTGCAGAAGCATATGAAAACAGCACACAGCACACGATGCGGCCAGGGGGCGGGTCCTGTGTGTCAGCATCAAGTGTCCCATGGGGGCTTTTCTGACAAACCAGGAAATGCTGTCCCCAGGGACACAGCCAGAATGGCTTTTCGGAAGGCCCGGGCGGGTGGGCAGAGCAGGACGAGCTGACAACAGAAGGGGCGTGGGGTATGGGCGGAGGAATCTTCCTGTGGGTGACAGGACGAGAACCAGGTGGGCCAGGCGGGCCAGGTGATGCAGCGACAGGAGCACTGCAGCCCTGAGGGAGGGGGGCGGGAGCGCTGAGCAGCATTCAGTCTCAGCCAGGCTAGACCCAGGAGGTGAGGAGTCCCACCAGAGAGGATGGAGGGTGGGCACAGCAGGTAAGTCCCTGAGTCGAGGTTGGTTTATCTGGTAAGACATCTGCCGAACTTCTCTTTACAAGGCCAGAGCCTGCCAATTAGTAACTGATTTGGGGCCCCACCCCAGAGATCAAGGTCAACTGGGACGCTGTCTGAGGATGGTCAAGGGCTGGTCGGTCCCAGGCCCGCTGATGACCTGCACCTGCCCGTCCGTCCTCCGGCAGGCACAGCGGCCAGCCCAGCCCAGCCTGCTCAGCCCTAACACTTGCTGGCTGCATCTCCAACTCTTCGCTAACTGCTCTGCACTCAGGCATGCCCTGGAATAGCGGTGTTGCTAGCCTCTCCCTGGCAGGATGGTCGGCATGTATCATCCTACTCACAGGTGTTAATAGTGATGGTGGTAACTCAGGGACAAATCCCACCCATGGAGCGACCGGGTGGGGAACGGCTCCTGTGTCTGGGTGCCCTGGAGCCGGGGCCGTTTAGGGGGTACTTG